GGGTTTCACTATGTTGGCCAGGCTGGTTTTGAACTCCTGACCTCAGGTGATCTGTCCCCCTTCAGCCTCCCAAAGTGCTGGGATTACAGGCATGAGCCACCACACCCGGCCAAAAACAAAGTTTTTTCTAAGTAGACTTTTAAAAAATATAACACACATCCAGAAAAGCATATACATCATACGTGTGCAACTGAATGAATTTTCCCAAAATAAAATTCAGAGGTAACCAGCACCCAGAACAAGAAACAGAATATGTCCAGTCCCAAGAAACCTCCTGGTGCCCCCTTACAGGGTTAACCACTTAAGGGTAACCACTATCTAACCTCCTAATAGCAGAAGTTAACTTTGCCTGCTATTGAACTTTCTATAAATGGGAATCATATCATCGTTTCTCTTTCATGTCTGGCTTTTTTCATTGGTAGGTTTGTGAGATTCATCCATGTTGTTGGAGGTTGTAATGGTGTGTTCATTCTTGGTGCTGATTAGCATTTTACTTTAGGAATATACCACAACTTATTTTCTCATTCTATTGTTGGATATTTAGGTTTCAAGTATTTGGCGAATATACATAGTGCTGCTGTGAACATTCTCGTACACATCTTTAGATGCCCATTTGTCTTGAGTGGCACCACTGGGTCATAGGAGAGGCATAAAATCTGCTTTAGTAGATACTGTCATGCAGTTTTCCAAAGTGCTTGTGCCATTTCACGCTTCCATCAGTGATGAGTGAGAGTTCCAGTTGCTCCACGTCCTCATCAACACTTGATGTTATCAGTCTCTTTTGTCTGACCATTCTGCTGATGTGTAGTGTCATTTCCTTAGGATTTTAATTTGTTATGTCCTTGATGATTAATGAGTTTCAGTCCTTCTTCACATAGACAATGCTTTAAAGCAGAGAAACATATCTCCCATTGTTTATGGGTACATAAAAATATACATGGAATGCTAATAGATAATTTTGATAGTGGCTGCCTCTGGGCACAGAGTGAAGGAGGAGAATTTATTAGGGCAGCATTCACAGAAGGCCTCAACTTTCAATGTTATTGATAAACCAGAAGCAGATACAGGACTATCCGAACTTTTTTATTTCTAAAAAAAGTTAAGGTAAATACAATAAAACATTCATTCACTTTTGACAGAACTCAGGGTGGCAGGTATAGAATTTTAGTGAACACTTACTGCTTGCCATATTCCAGACACCGTGTAGGTGCTTTACTTATATTAACTCTTTTCATGCTCATGACGATCCTATGAGGAAGGTATGATGAGTAGGACCTCCCTTTTAACCTATGAGGAAACCGAGGCATAGAGACTTGAAGTGACTTGCCCCAGGTCACACAGCTGGCATATTCTTAGGGCCCTCTACTCTTCTCTATGCCTGAAACAATTCTTAGTTTAAAAAAAAAAAAAAAAAAGGTGAGTGGCAAGAAAGAAGAGGGCAGCAGAGTGATGTGACCAGGGCGGTGGTGGTTCCTCCCACAGGCCCCCCCAGCCCGGCTGCCCCGCCTTCATCATCGTCAAGCTGAGCCCGCTGCGGGACCGCCTCGTGGTGACGGAGTGCCAGTTGACCCACTCGCACCCGGCCTGCCCGCTGGAGTTCGCCTACTACTTCCGCCCAGGCCACCTGCTGGCCAACGCCTGCCTGCCGGTGCGCACCACCAACAAGATCTCCAAGCAGTTCGTGGCCCCAGCCGACGTGCGCCGCCTGCTCTCCTACTGCAAGGGCCGCGACCACGGCGTTCTGGACGCCCTGCACGTGCT